TATTATGCTTATGTTTTTTAAAATTTATCATTAAATCATTTTTTTCTTCTTATATATTATATTTTTTTCTTTTATATAATATATAATATTTTTATTGATTTCAAAAATTAAAAATAAATATGAAATTTATTAAAGATTAATTTTTACAGTATATTTTTTCTTTTACATTAAATTGCATAATAATTTTTTGTATTAATACAATTAAAAAAGATATTTAGATGATCAATATTTAAGATGAATATCTAATATATGTAAATATAAATATGTAAATAAATAATAATTAAAACTATATTTGTTATTTAAATAACAAATTTATTAAATATAAATATTTCATAAAACTAAAATATATAGCATAATGAACAAAAAGTATAACTTCTTTTAAAATAACAATCATATAACATATAATCATAAGTATTTTAAATATGTTATGTTATTAAAATATACAATAAATATAAAAAAGTAACATTGATTGATTAATTAATTTTTATGATATTTATATTGTAATATAAATATATGCTGAAAATATAAAAGATTGTCTTTTACAATTATTCATTTATTTCAATAATCTAATATGACTAGTAATAAATATTAAGAAAAAATAAAACTTTTGGAAAAAGAAAATATTAGAATATTTTTTTCTTTAACAGCATATAGTATAATAAAATGTAGTAATATTATAATTTTATAATATTATATTTTTTATAATTCTAATTTATTTATCTATAAAACGATAAATTATCTTCATTTTCGCAATTAAATATTAATTAAAAAAAAATAATATACTATGTACAGTAAACAAATATATTAAATTAAAGAAATATATTTTTAATAATACTGATAAAATAATTTTAAAATATAACTATTATCAAATATAAGTATTATATTAAAATATAAGTAAATATTAAATTAATATCGGAAATATATCTTAATTTCAAATACAAATAATCGTAAATAAAATATTTATAAATCAAATAACAGTATTATATATGTAATTTATGATATATGCAATAGTTTTTTATCATATATGTATAATAATAACCTCACTCTCAATATATTAATTTATTATCATATAAGATATTATTCGTGAGATACATTTAGAAGATCGATTCTAGAAAAAATAAATACAAAAATTCGTATACAAAAATGCTCAGATATATTTAGATATATTTTCAGTTCAGATATATTTATTAAGTTATAATTAATTTAAATTTACATTAAATCAAGCAAAGAACAGAATGTGATGGCGATATAACAAAAATAAAAACGGTTTCATTCTATTTCCATTTTGCTTTGTCTAACATTTTAGAATTGATCTTCTAAAGATGCTATAAAAATACATAAATATCTTAAATATAATGAATCTAATACATAACATTTTCATAAAGATGTTCTTCAAAGTTTTTCACGAATATGTTAATATCTTATATATAATAAACTAATACATAACATTTTTATAAAAAATCTAGATAATAATTAGCAACATGTGTATTCATAATTGAGTCATTATATCTTTATCATGATAAAATTTTCTTCATATTTATAAATATGTTATAAATATGAATTTAAAAACATAATTACACATATTTTAATCAAACAATTATAACTCAAGTTATAATAAAAATAGTAAATGTTTTTGCAATATACATAATATATAAACTTTTATTTCCTTTTCAATTCCTTGAATATAGAACTTTTTTTTTTATCGAATGAACTATTGTCACTTTAATTTTTAATTTATTTTGGCTTGAACCATTGAAAATAATACATAGTTTAATTTATAGTTTAACTAAATTAGAAAACTTTAATTACCTAGAATTTTTATCATATAATGATTTTTCATTTTCATTCATTTCTGTGGATTTTTCTTTTTTCAAATCAATTCCTGTATATCCATCTTCAATATACCTGATATCAGTATCATGATTTGCATTAATTCCTTCTTTATTTGCATATGTATTTATTAACCATCCTTGATTATTATCTATTTCTTTTGATACAACAAGAAATAATTCTTTTTCCTTACTATCTATTTGGTCCTTTAGATATCTAAGTAAATCATTTTCCTAATACATATTACAATACAATTAAAACATATTAGCAAAATTTTTTGTTAAGATATATATATTGTATTTTTAAATATTAAAATCAAAATTTTAAATGAAACCTTTCCAATAAGTTGAGGAGAATCAAGTTTTGAATCAAGATTATAAAAGGCACCATGAATTTTCTTCAGGGCAATCCAGTGTCGTCTTTTCAAAGGAAGTAATACAAATCCCAATTTATATTCTGTAGGTACATTTAATATAAAACCTTCAATATTATCTAAATATAGACATTTGGGATCTCTGAAAAAATTTCCAATTTTTCAATATATATTTAATATATACATTATATTACACATATAAACAATAATATAATACAGAA